ACAACCTGCGATGTGCAGATGAAACAACTTTGCTTGCTCAAAGTGAAGATGACTTGAAGCACAAACATCAAAGACCACAGACTTCAATATGGATTACACTTCAACATAAAGAACACAGAAATCCTCACAACTAGACCAATAAGCAACGTCATGATAAATGGAGAAAAAAACTGAAGTTGTCACGGATTTCATTTTACTTGGGTCCACAATCAACACCCATGGAAACAGTGGTCAAGAAGTTGAACTGTGTATTGCATTGGGCAAATCTGTTGTCAAAGACCTCTTTAAAGTGAAAAAGCAAAGATGTCACTTTGAGGACTCAGGTGTGCCTGACCCAGGCCATCGTATTTTCATTTGTCTCATATGCATATGCAAAGTTGGACAGTGAATAAGGAAGACTGAGGAAGAATCGAGGCCTTAAAATTATGGTATTGATGAAGAATAGTGAATGCACCATGGACCGCTAGAAGAAATCTATCTTTGAAGAAGTATAGCCAGAATGCTCCTTAGAAGCAACATTAGTGAAATTTTGTCTCACGTCCTTTGGACATGTTGTCAGGAAGGACCAGTCCCTGGAGAAGGACATCACGCTTAGTAAAGTAGAGGGTGAAAAAGAGGAAGATCCTTAATGAGATGGGTTGACCCCGTGGCGGCAACAGTGAGCTCAGACCTGGCAATGATTGTGAGGACGGTACAGGACCAGGCAGTGTTCCATTCTGTTGTGTGTAGAGTTGCTGAGTCAGAACCAAGAGGGCACCTAACAACAGCAACATTGTTGAATTGTATCTCTTTTATTTTCAACCACACTTCTCACTCTCAGTGATGATTTTGCTTCTTTGTTTACTGTTTGCCTTTCCTCAGTGGCACATAAGCCCCGTGAGGGCAGAGACTTGGTCTGCCCTGTTCATTGCTACGTCACCAGCACCCAGAACAGTCTTGGTTCATTGATAATATCTGGCAAATGAATGAATGAAACTATAGTGAGAAGAGATAGGATGAGTCATTCACTCACACACTCGTTCAGCAGCAAGGTACCTGGGAGCTTTCTGAAACTCTGTGGCTCTGATAATTCTAACACTAAGACAGGGTCCTAACTTGGGCGGAGAGACCTCCAAGGGGTTCACCATGAGCACCAGCCCCCTAATATTGGAGGCCCATTGTGTCAGCATGAGTGTAACTCTTATTAGCTAACAGTCTCCTCTCTCAGAGGGTGGTGGTTGAGGATGAGGTAGGGCATTCAAATATCAAGTGCTTGGCCCAGGGCAGGGGCCAGTGTATTAGTTGTTTATTGCTGAGTGATAAGTTACCACAACTATATCCATCAATATATATGTTTGATAGGAGACGTTTCTACATATGTATTTACACGTGCTGCAAATACATCTATGAATATAATAGAACGTATGGGGCAAAGTTATGAAAATTTCTTAGCTTGAAGGAATGAGTCACTGGGCCTGGGGATTCAGAACCATAGTCTCAGGTGACATCAAGGTCTGTTGGCACAGCATAGTCCTCAAAGAAAATGTTCACCATCCTACTTTGGTGAGTAGCATTGCAGTCTTATATGCAGCCATCTAAGGTTGGGAGCTCTGGTAGCGTAGTGCCTAAGGCACTTGACTGCTAACCAGAAGGCTGGCGGTTCAAACCCACCAGCCACTCCTCAGAAGGAAGAT